AGTCGAATCAGAGACAAAAGAAATCAGCGAGGCCGTTTTTAAAAAGATGAAGTATCTTAAAGCTAAGAACCAGCACTCAATCAGCATTGTGGATAACATTGGTTCCAAGATCAAACGAATCAAGCAAGATGACAAAACTTTGGTAAATGAAGCTCCTCAAGTACTTGCATCACTTGATGACAATGCAATTGTTCATCAAGATGTTATGAACTGTCATGACCGAATACAGCGTGAAGTTCAGAGAGTGAAGTTCGTCGAGGGTGAAGTAGTTGGGGAATACTGCGGGAGAATAGATGGGTATATCGGTAAATGGGAGTTTGTCAAGTCAATCCACATTCCATCGACTGTTAATCAACCAGTGGTGTGTGGTTCGATCAGTGATGATGAGATATGTGTGCGGGACGAAACTAACAACGCAACGTATGTTACAAATATCAGCACTGAACACACAGAGAAAGTGACTGAAGGAGGAAGTCACATGTATATTACCTCATGCGCGTCCATAGACAGAAACGTAATAGTATGTGGTGTGTGGAGAAAAGACTTCACGTGTGACAGCTTGGATAGATGCATTGCTCTCTGTGGCAGACACTGGATGATGACGTAAATTTGATTTTACCAAAAATGACGTTTACAATTACTTTACCTTTCATTATAATAGAATACGGCTATGCGAACCGTTAAGTATAATAGAATGAGAACAGATGGGTAATCTTTAATCTAATAGAGTAAACTCACCATCTGATTTGAAGCATTCCCTAAAAAGCTATTCTTTACAATGTGTACTCTTTATTGTGAACTGAACACAACTATATTTGCAAGATGATTGAAATATATGTATATGTATAAGCATATATATTGACAGGACATCTATATATATAACCCTAACTGGTACATTAGCAGGAAATCATAACAAATTGGTATATTACCCAAACCCTAACCCTTACCTATGGTGGCCCTGAAGGGACATCGCGAATAGACTAAATCGTGAAAAATATGCGATAAAATTCACGATATCGTCAATTTTATCGCATATTTTTCACGAAGAAATTCACGAAATTGACGATATCGTGAACTTTACCGTGAACTTTTCACGATGAAATTGACGATATCGTGAATTTTATCGTGAAAAGTTCACGATATAAAGTTCACGATATCGTCAATTTTATCGTGTACTCTATCGTGTACTCTCCTGACGGGCGCTTCGTAAACAAAACCAGCCCTAGCTGGGGGAGACAGAGAGAAGGGAAAAAGGGAAAGGGAAAGAGAAGATAAAAGGAAAGAAAGAATAATAAGAAGAAAAGAGGGAAACGGGGGGGGGGGCGAAGGGTTCTTGCCTCCTCCTCACTCCCCCCCCCCCCGCCAAAAAATAAATAAGGAGAGAGAGAAGGGAAAGGGAAAGGGAAAGAAAATATAAAAGGAAAGAAAGAAGAGGAAGAAGGAAAGAGGGAAACGGGGGAAGGGCGAAAGGCTCTTACCTCCCCCCCCCCGCCAAAAAAATTAATAAGAGAGAGAGAGAGAGAGAGAGAGAAGGGAAAGGGAAAGAAAGAAGAGGAATAAGAGGGAAACAGGGGAAGGGCGAAGGGCTCTTGCCTCCTCCCCCCCCCCCCCGCCAAAAATAAATAAGAGAGAGAAGGGAAAGGGAAAGAAAATATAAAAGGAAAGAAAGAAGAGGAATAAGAAGGAAAGAGGGAAACGGGGGAAGGGCGAAGGGCTCTTGCCTCCTCCCTCCCCACCCCCGCCAAAAAAATAAATAAGAGATAGAAAGAGAAGGGAAAGGGAAAGGGAAAGAGAAGATAAAAGGAAAGAAAGAAGAGGAAGAAGAAGAAGAAAAGAGGGAAACGGGGCGAAGGGCTCTTGCATCCCCCCGCCCAAAAAATAAATAAGAGAGAGAGAGAGAGAAGGGAAAGGGAAAGAGAATAAAAAAGGAAAGGAAGAAGAATAAGAAGAAAAGAGGGGCTCTTGCCTCCTCCCCCCTCCTGCGCCAACAAATAAATAGGAGAGAGAGAGAGAGAGATAGAGAGAAGGGAAAGGGAAAGGGAAAGAAAATATAAAAGGAAAGAAAGAAGAAGAAGACGGAAAGAGGGAAACGGGGGAAGGGCGAAAGGCTCTTACCTCCCCCTCCCCCCTCCCGCCATAAAGGGAAAGAGAAGGGAGAGGGAAAGAAAATATAAAAGGAAAGAAAGAAGAGGAAAAAGAATAAGAAAAGAGGGAAACAGGGGCGAAGGGCTCTTGCTTCCTTTCTTTTCTTTCTTTTCCTTTCTTTCCTATTCTCCCTCTTTTTCGTTTTTCTCTTTCTTTCTTCTCTTTCCCTTTCCTTCTCTCTCTCTCTCTCTTATTTATTTTTTGGCGGGGGGCGGGGGGACGAGGCAAAAGCCCTTTGCTCCCGTTTCCCTCTTTTCTTCTTCTTCCTCTTCTTTCTTTCCTTTTATCTTCTCTTTCCCTTTCCCTTTCCCTTCTCTCTCTCTCTCTGATTCATTTTTTGGCGGGGGGAGGGGGGGGGGGGGGCAAGAGTCCTTCGCCCTTCCCCCGTTTTCCTCTTTTCTTCTTCTTCCTCTTCTTTCTTTCCTTTTATCTTCTCTTTCCCTTTCCCTTTCCCTTCTCTCTCTCTCTCTCTGATTTATTTTTTGGCGGGGAGGGGGGGGGGGGGGAGTGAGGAGGAGGCAAGAGCCCTTCGCCCCCCCCCGTTTCCCTCTTTTCTTCTTATTATTCTTTCTTTCCTTTTATCTTCTCTTTCCCTTTCCCTTTTTTCCTTCTCTCTGTCTCCCCCAGCTAGGGCTGGTTTTGTTTACGAAGCGGCCGTCAGGAGAGTACACGATAGAGTACACGATAGAGTACACGATAAAATTGACGATATCGTGAACTTTATATCGTGAACTTTTCACGATAAAATTCACGATATCGTCAATTTCATCGTGAAAAGTTCACGATAAAGTTCACGATATCGTCAATTTCGTGAATTTCTTCGTGAAAAATATGCGATAAAATTGACGATATCGTGAATTTTATCGCATATTTTTCACGATTTAGTCTATTCCCGATGTCCCTTCAGGGCCACCATACTTACCCTTACCCTAACCCTAAAATCAAAACAATATAACCAATTAAACTAATGACATTTGAATAAACCTATTGCTTCTTGGGAGGCCTATAAGTGTCTCCTGCCTGCCAACGTACGTAGAGGGCAGCAGTCATATTGTTGAATCGTTTACAAGACGTGACTATTTTTTCCCACTACATATGTCCTTCTAATGACGCTGTAAGGTATTATACGAACGTCTTCACGATTATTGACCTATTTTCAGGGTATGATATACATGTATGAATGCACGTAACGAATGACGACTGCGAACCTCAGCCATTTACTGATTTAAGGGGATTTTCAAGTTGTGTTCAATTTCAAAATGTCATCCCTTTTTTTTCTCGGTTTTCTCCAATTTTCTCTAATTTTCAGCTTTTTGTAAAAAACAACAACTTAATATCATAGCGGACTTCCCCTTTTAGCAAGCTTCTGGCTTTTCAGCCTTCTCCATATTCTTCGTTGCGGTGTTTTTTTCGGTATGGTGAATGATCGATGTGTGTGTGTGTGTGTGTGTGTGTGTGAGGTGGTGCGTGTGCGTGCGTGTTTGACATCCTTACTCCTAGAGACGCCGAAGAACTATATAATAAAGCTGAGTAGCCTTGCATTTATAGATATATATATATTTACACACTTGAATATACCTGCAATACTAAGTCCACGTGTTGGCATAAGATGACGCAAAACAAATGATGAAAGTGACGTTACATGCTTTATTTCCATCAGTTTTTATCAGGTCACGAATTTTCGACGTACATTTTGTCTTTTTCAAGTGATAATGACAAAATTTAAGAAAAGTAATCTTGATATTAAAGGTTTCCAAAGGCCAGTTGCATATATTATGTCATTGAAATAGAGCAATTATTTTCTTTATTCACAATATATACATTTTTTTTTTTTCCAAATACATTGATTTAAAACAAAAAATACTCTCAACGGGTTGCAATTTTAATTACATTTTCATGGTTTCCCACTCCTAGACTTATTTAAATTGTCACCTTTAATTTGCAATGTTTTTATATTTTTTCTGTCATTGTATTTTACTTGGCTTTGTTTATGTTCCTTCTGTTTTTATTTATTATTATAATTTTTTTAATATGTAAATTTAGTAACATTTCATCTGTAATGTTGCAAGTATTAAATAAAATAAATCTTGAATCTTGAAATAGTTCACATGAAAGTAATCAGGCTCATTACCTTGAAGAAAAGATAATAACATTTTTGTATATAAACACACGCACACTTAAACATATACATCCAGTTAACAATTAAATTATTCATACAATGACCAAGTTCTGTAATTCTCTTTAATTATGTGAAAATTGACTTGTCAGAATTTATGTTTCTTGATAATGTGACATATTAAAGGTAACATCTTAAATAATCCACGGAGGCTCTATTATAAACAGTTACGATTAATTATAATTAATTTGCGATAAATATCAATCACAACTTTTGGAACAATAATAACAAATAACAGATAAACCTATTAGTAAGATAAGATAAACACATTGCAAAAGAAACCATAGTGTGTAATGTTTCCGTCCTTCATGCTTCATTTTCCATTTTCTCTTTCTTACTTGTTCTCCCTCTCTCTCTTCTCTGCTGGAAAGATCATCATTTGTTATTATTTCCGACATCTGTAAGAATTCTGAGTATCCACTAATGTTAAAGACAACCTTTTTGATTTGTAGCGTGGGGGAGGGGGGGGGGGATGTAGGGTTACCTAATAATTTATACATACATCTCTATTTATATTACAGAGCACGTGTAACCTTTTTTAAAATTCTTTTTCCAAATTATAGAATATTTGTGGTGGTACACAAATATTAGAAATCGTTATATTTATGGATATTTCAGCCGTCTCTGAACCGACGTTGATCAAACAAAGATGATTTTGTCATTTAAATTATATGTTCTTCCAAATTTGACACTCATTTTTTCATTGTCTCACAAATTTTTTTTTGTTTAGCGCCCTCTGCAACAGAGCTCAATAATCCTTTTAAAGAGATTACTGTGTAGTTCATTGGTAACACTCTAAACACGAAGGCATTTCTTATACACCAAAAGCCTGTTTCCGTCACAATTAATTAGTTTACCAGATGGGCTAACGAAGCTCGGTCCAACCTGGAAAGAGCGGTAGGGATGTCCATATTCCACGACTCTCTTAGACGTGCCATCACCTGACACATGATCAACTACGAACATGTCACGTGATCCCTGATCAATGGCGGATGTCTCACGGGGACTTTTGTATGTAACGTAGATGGCGTCTGTCAGCTTGTCGACGGCAAACCACGACTCGCCGTACGCACGATCATGTGCACCAGTCACCTTATTTGCTGATCTGTCGAATACCCAGAATTCTCTATAACCTATACATGTACCGAAGCATCCGCTGGATAAGGCATGTATCCCATCATGCACATTGAGATCCGGTAGCTCTATAGTATCCACTAACTTACCATCAGCGGGGTTGATGACGTAGACTTCGTGATGATACTCCTGGGCCGCAAGTATCATCCCGTCCTTGTCAACATCAACCCACAATTCATTGTGAAAAGCGTTCTCTTCCGGTATCACAATATCTCTAACCCGTTGCCATTCTCTGTCAAAGAGAGTGATGCATCCCTCTACGGCATTACCCGGACAGTCGAACCTGCGCTTGCCACACACTATTAAGTCGCTGTTGATAGGTGCACACGATGTGATGTGGGTGTCAGCACTTCCTTCGATGACCTTCTGCGTGTGTTGTTTCTTCAGATTGGTGACATACAGGTCATTAGTTTTAGAGTCCAGCACACACATTTCATCATCACTGACGAAACCACGGAGTAATGGACCATTAACGGTCAGTGGAATTATGATCGAACTGACCAGTTCCCATCTCTGTGCTTGACCTTCGATTTGTGCGATGTACTCGCCCCCTACCCGACCACCGATAAACTTCAACCCCTGAACCTCCTGCTCTATCTTATCTAGATATTCCACCATGTCAACTTCATCATCGACATGTGGAGTCAACGTATCACCCAGGGCAGCAATCACTAGAGAAGCTTCGCATACTAACGCTTTGTCATCCAGTTTGATGCGTTTCATCTTTTGACTGATATTAGTCACGGTATCTATTTGATGTTGATTCTTTCTTTGCAGATCTAGGATCTTTGTTCCTATAGTGTCTTGCATTTCTTTACACTCTAGACTGAGCTTGGCATGCATTCCTCTGATTGCTTCTTGTTTCTGTTCAGCTTTCTCGAGGCATGCTTTGATTCGTCTGTCCCTCCTCTCCTTGATGAGTCGTATTTCTTCGTCCGCTTCGTCGTTGAGGGCGCGAATCTCCTCCTGCTCTATGATCTGTTCGACATTCTTCATTTGGATGTCGCACTCATTCTGAGCTTTCTCACTAATTAACTGGAAATGATCATGAAGACAATCTAGACAAGACTTTATTTTAGAGCCAAGTTTCGTCAAATGTGGCTTTGCAGTCTCGATTTTCAAGAGTTTATCATCGAGCTTTTCCCCAATCTCCAAGATGACATCCTCGATGTCGTCAAGTTTACATGGTTTCTGGTGATCTTTCATCGCACATGGATGGCAAATTGGGATCCCGTGTTCTGCACAGAAGAATTTGATTGGTTCTCCATGTTTGTCACATGACCATGTGACGTCATGACCTTTTCTACTCTTCAGCTGAACGCCGCTATCTGTTGGAAACTTGGACGCCATGATGACGTCAGACAGATCTAGGAATGGTACCTACAATGAAAACAGTAATTTTCTTTTAGAAATCAATACACCCCAGGTGTATAAAATATGACCAGTTCACTATATAAGAAATGTTTGTTAAGATCTGTATGCAGGCCTTATAAAATTTTGCATTTCATTTCAATCCAATTCAATTAATTGTAATCGTATTATATTAATCAAATCTTTGTATTAAACGACATCCGATCAACATCGTCACATTTACATACATGTATATTGAGTCAAAAATGTAATCATGGGGAACGTTGGGTATATTTAGCATGTGCCCGACCAGAAGAGTTACACGAATGGGCTAACTTAATATCTAGAATTGCGAATGTCTCAAAGTGAGTACCGAATATATTATTATCCCTGGCAACTGATGACAAGGCAAGCCCAAAAAGCAACGGGATGAAACCTGTTCGCATCGTCTTTGTTCATTATCAAGGTTAGACACAGGGCAAGAGTCCAACAATTAATCAAGAAATTTTAAAATCAATCGGTGATGAAAGCAGAATACACAAGCGGTGAGAGCTTTACAAAAGTTTTTAAAAAGCTTTAAAGCTTTAAAGCTTAAAGCACACGAAAAGTCGACAACTATAAAAACAACGTGTATAAAGCTCTTTCAAGGGGTAAAAAAAACTACTCGGCATGTTGTCATTCATGTGATAAATCAAGAAAAGCATGCGAAAGCATCGATAGTACTTACTGTTCCATTAACAAGCCCCTAATCATCCTAACAGTAGGAAAATGTGCTAACGGACAATTAATTTGCAACAGACAAATTATTAAGATTAGTTAACATACCTGGTTTAGTCAAAGAAATGTTCAAAATGTGATCAGAACAAAATATGTCGTCACTTCGTAGGACTGAAGCTATTAATCCTGAAGCAACACGTAGACACCGACCAGTCAGAACAAAGTTATGTCCGCCGTCGAGTAAACCAGAGACATGTATCTGAATAAATGACCAGGATAACTTGATTGAAGGACTTTGAACCCGTTTTGATATGATTCATTCACCGGATGTTTTCTCTTCATTAAAGGTAAAGACCAGTTCTGGTTGTGCGATAGCATTGTGAAAGAAACGTGTAGAATCGATCAGAAAAGGTTGATCATCTAGCATATAAGTATTGGTGTGTACTGCAAGGTTCTGAAAACATCAAAATGATACGAAATTTGGCCAAGTCTTGGTAAAGTTACAAGCACTGTACACAGAAAAATGTATATGAGACTACGCTACACGTGCGCGATATCTTTCCGGTCCGGATAGATATAATAATTTACCAAATAATTATATCAATTAGAAGGCGGTTTCCCGGCAAAATTTGTATCATCACGTATTAGTCAAAACATATTCTTTCACACGATTGGTAACAAGAGCTAACCAAAACTGGTCTATACCTTTAAACCTGAAACAGGAAATCACTTCCGGTCGGAGCTATATAATCCTGGTTTTATAGTTGCATAGATACAGACAGTAGTAGTTGCTGTCTGTCGCGAAGCGACAATGACCGCCTTCATTTTCACTTTACAGCTGTTCTCCATACAGCTCGCTGGCCTGCAGCAGTTGTCCAAGTCTTGGTTTCAATTTGCCTCCGCTTAAGGTTCCTCTTGATCGTGTCCTTGTAGCGAAGCCGTGGACGACCAATCCCTCTTTCGCCAGCGGGTAGTTGCGAGAATAGTACTTGCTTTGGTAACCTCTCAGAGGGCATCCTGATGACATGGCCTGTCCATCGAAGGTTCTTCCTGATGAGCAGGTCCTCCATAGAAGGAAGGTTTGCTCGCTCTAGTACCTCTTTGTTGGTCACCTTGTCCTTCCAACTGATTCTCATGATTGCTCGAAGGTGTCTCATCATGAACGCGTGAAGTTTCTTTACTTGACTTGTGTAGAGAGTCCAACTTTCCGCACCGTATAAGAGAGTGGATAGGACGATAGCCCTGTAGATTTTGCACTTCACTCTTGTTGAGACATGATGGTTGTTCCATAGCCTGGTTCGCAGTCTTCCAAAGGCACTGCTGGCCTTTGACATTCTTTTCACCAGCTCAGAGTCGATGCGTCCGTCTTTGGATATAGTGCTGCCGAGGTAAGTGAAGTCATCTACCTGGTTTAGGGCTGTCCCATCCACTAGGATCTCCTCCTCCTCTAGGTGGTCTGTACCTGGTTGGAATAGTACTTCAGTCTTTTTGATGTTTATTTGTAGACCGAACTTCTTTGATGCTGATGAAAATACATCTATAACATGTTGCATCTGCTCTGGTGTATGAGAAACAAGAGCACTGTCATCTGCAAAGAGGAGTTCCCTCACGAGAATCTGTGTAGACTTCGTCTTAGCTTTGAAGTGTGCGACATTGAATAGGTCGGCGTCTTGACGTGATTGTATGTAAACGCCTTCCTCAAAGTCCGCAAAGGCCTCCTCCAGCATCGCCGAGAGAAAGATGGAGAACAGCGTAGGGGCCAACACACATCCTTGTTTTACACCGTTACTTACAGGGAAGCTATGGGATGTTTCGCCTGCTTCCTTGACTTTAGCCATCATACCCGTATGTAAGGACTCTACCATTCCGGTGAACTTCTCGGGACATCCATACTTTCGTAGTAGTTCCCAAAGACCTGTCCTACCAACAGTGTCAAAGGCTTTCGTGAAATCGACAAAAACCACATAGAGGGATCGGTTGTGCTCAATGCACTTCTCCTGTAGTTGTCTGAGGCAGAAGATCATATCTACTGTGCTGCGGTTGTTCCTAAATCCGCATTGCGTCTCCGGCAATATATCTGGTGCTATGTGGGTATTCAATCTGTTCAGAAGGATCCTGGCAAAAACTTTCCCTGCTATTGACAATAGCGATATTCCTCTGTAGTTTCCACATTGAGTTCTATCTCCTTTTTTGAAGATGGCGACAATATTAGCATCCTTCCAATCCTGAGGTACGGAGCCTTCCGCCCATGCTTGTTGTATCAGCATTAGTAAACTGCTGGTTAGTGTGGCTCCTCCGTGCTTCCATATCTCGCTTGGTATCCCATCCACTCCGGGTGCCTTGCCATCACCCAAGGAGGCAATTGCCAGGTTTAGCTCTTTTCGTGTTGGAATATCATCGAGTGCAGTAACTACAGGTCGCTGGTTGATCCTATCACGCGCTGCAGGCTCGATATCTCCTGGCTGGTTGAGTAGTGTCTCAAAATGCTGCGACCATCGTTCAAGCACCCTTTTGTTGTCTGAAAAGGTTGTGTTACCGTCCAGGGACTTGAGATGAACTGTACTCCTAGTCTGGGGGCCCCAGACTTCTTTCAGTCCAGTGTAGAAGGACTTCATGTCATTATTGTCTGCGGAGCGCTGCAGGTCCTCTGCCTTTTTCTCCCACCAGGTGGTTTTCATTTTCCGTGTGTACCTCTGCAAGTGTCTGCAGGCTTCCTTGTACGCGGTGGTGGTTGACCTGGTACTTCTAGTCTGTAATACACGTTGGTGTGTTTCATTCCTTTTCTTCATGAGTATCAGAAGCTCGGAGTCTTCTGGGTCAAACCAGTCCTGGTGTTTTCGCTCTGGTTTACCGAGGGTGTTGCTCGCTGTGTCATATACTACTTTGCTGAGTGATGCCCAGGTCTGATCAACTGTCATTCCCTCTTGCACTCCCCAAGTCGCCAGAGCTTTCTCCATATCTTGCTCTAGCTTTAGCCGTTGTGTGTTGACGTGTAGCCGGTCTGTGTTCAGCTTTGCAAGTTTAGTAGCTCCTTGCTTCCTACGCTTTGAACGTAAAGCAAATGCAATCTTTGATCTTAGTAGCTGGTGATCGGTCAAGCAGTTAGCTCCACGCATAGTTCTTGTGCTGTGAACATCCATTCTGTCTCGTTGTCTTGTTATGATGTAATCAATCAGGTGCCAATGCTTAGAGCGAGGGTGCATCCAGGTGGTTTTGTGTTCTTCCCTCTGCTTGAACACGGTGTTTGTCAGTAGGAGTTCGAACTCAGAGCACAGCGCTAGAAGTAGCTCACCATTGGTGTTGCATTTACCGATTCCGTGCCTGCCTAACACCGACTGCCATTTCTCATAGTCTCGTCCTACCCGGGCATTGAAGTCTCCCATCAATATCAGCTTGTCAGTCCGGGGGGTGTCCCGCAACGTTCGTCTAAGCTGATTGTAGAAGTTCTCCTTTGTTTCATCCGGACTCGTCATGGTTGGTGCGTATACACTGATGAGAGTAGCATTTCCCTTCTTCATCAGTGGTACTGTCATTGTCATAATTCTATCATTCACCGCTTTAGGCATTTCTGTGAGCTTCGCTAAGATCTCTTTTCTGATGGCGAATCCCACTCCAGCCTCTCGTCGTACCCCGTCCGGCTTGCCGCTCCAGAAGAATGTGTAGCCCATGTCATCGAGCCTACCTGACTCGGAGAAACGTGTTTCACTCAGAGCAGCAATGTCAATTTTGTACTTCTCCAGCTCCATGGCTACAAGGGCAGTCCTTCTCTCTGGCCTGCCAGTTCCTTCCCGATCGAGGAGTGTCCTGACATTCCACTGTCATTGTAGTAATTCCGCTGGTGTCATCTTTTTGTTGTTGTTGTTTACTTCCTAGCATACTTGGCACTGTCGACGGAAGTCCTGATCTAACAGCGCGGTCCTTGTTAACCCGGAAGACGACCGAACCGGTATGAAGTTTCATACTGTTGCGCATAGTGAAGGCTGCTTGCAAAGGTGGATAAGTACCGGTAGCTCTTGCAAGTTACTACCGGCACTCTCTCGGGGAACTGGTGGCAGTTTCACACCGGCGAGGACAAACCAGGACGGGTGTGAACCACTAGACCCTGCAGTGACTGGTCGAAGGATGTCGGGAGTTCCGTATCGTCAATCGCCCTCAATGCTGTCACGGTGGCATGGTTTTCTGTTAGGGTTTGCTCCCTTAGCCTTAGTTAGATTCTAAAGAGAACCTGAACCACAGGGCAGTGGTTACAACTAAGCATGGCAAAACCAATTAACAATTATCAAAAGAATGAGGCGGTTACAATTACTCTTATGACAAGAGTACTAATTGAACCAACAAAATATTACCTTACTTTATTGATTATATCTATTCAGTGCTGTGATAAAAACACTGATTATAGTAGAGAAACAAAGATTTTTTTCTCGAAATAAGTGCAAGAATATTAAGGAGATTAAGGGCAGATCGAATAACCTTACGATATCAAACTAATTTAAATTAAAAAAAAAATAAAAAAATAAAAAAAATTAAAAAAAATGAATAACTGATTATAATATATTATGAATCAATGGATTTGATATGCAGTAACCTCTAAGTAAGCTATATGGTAATGCAGCAGAATTAATGATAGTCTATCGTATATATATTGAGGAGGTATCAGCAATTAAGGTAGACTATAAACTATAAAAAAAAAATATTTAAAAAAAGAAAAGAAAAGAAGATAAAGACGTAGGACATAAAAAGAATATAATCGAAATGTCCGACTAAGTTCCGTGGCACAAACTCGGCATTATTGGACAAACCTACCATTGGATACAGACAGACAGGATACAATATGTAAGGAGTGAATTGTATCTGTGCGGCTAGGGACTGATAAAGAATTATGGAGCAAAGTCCTCGGCCCTTTATATGATGATGATTCACATCATTTGTATGGCGCCATTTATCTGTTTCAAAAAACATTCAAAGGCACGAGCTCCTCCACACAAATAATATCCCTGTGCCACGAACGTCTTTAAGATCTTTGTACCATTTTCAGAGTATTATATTTATCTATATTTATTTTAAATGCTTGTTGTGGAGCTCATCAAGACATGGAATAGATGATTTTGCAAAGCCATTGTGACTGTATTGCGTAAAGCAATCCTTTAATTAATGGTTGGTTATGTTTTTGTGTAATAATGCACGTAGGCATACGAACAACATTGCAGAGACACGAAGAAAGCAACCGAAGTGTTTTTTAAGAATACGAAAACA